CCCCAGCGCGGCCCCTGGGCGCGGGGCAGGGGGAAAGCCGCAAAATCCCGAGACCTTCCCATTCGACTGATCGCAGGCGGCCCCACCACCTGCAGCTGATCCGTCTCGTCGCTCGCGCCCCCCCGGCGCCGGCACCTGCGCGGCGGGCCCATCCCCGCCTCGACCGAGGGCGGCGCGTGGACCGCTCGGGGCCGCGGGTTTGCGGAGCTCGCCGAATTGGTAGCCCCCGAGAAACATCACTGCTGGAGAGCATGAATCGTTGGACTGGCAGCCCCCGAGAAACAGCACGGGTGGAGAACATGAAGCTTGTCGATCAAGGTTTGCAACTCCATGAGAGTCTGCGGTGTGATGTCGTCTGCGGCCTTCGCGTGCTCCCCAAACGCTTCGATGGCCAGGGCGGTGGCAACCTGCTCTCTGGGTTCATGAAGGCGCCTTCTTTGCTCTTCTGGAAGACTGCCTCGTCGATCTGCTGAACCGCCCACCTAATCTCGACGTCGAAGAGCCGACCCGGACGGGATTAAGACAGGGGGCGGTGCAACGGCTTGCTGCGGGGTGCCCGGCACTGGCACACTCTTGCATTCGTGTTCCGGGTTGGGGACTCCGCATTGGTGATGGCATGGCCACTTGAATTGACAGCCCAGTTGGCCGTGCGATGTACTCGATCTTAGATTTCTGGGGCACCTGAGATGATGGAGGCTTGATCGGATTGGGTTTCTCCTCCACTAATGCCTCCGTGGGCGTGAGGGGCGACCGCTGGGCGATGATTGCGTGGACGCGGGGGACGAAGCGAACCGAATTCTGGGGTTGGCTGGAAGATGCGAACGACTTCCCATGCACATGCTGGGCGTTGGGAGCCGGGGCTGGATGCGGCGGCGGGGGCAGAGGCGGCAGCGGTGGATCTTGCGCCGCTGGGTCGCCCAGACCCGCTGCTGAAGCCCCCACTGGTACCTGATGGGGCTGCTGATGTATCACTCCTGTAGACTGATGCCCCGTGCCCAGACCTTCGAGACTGATCTAGCAGAGCTGCTGGATCATGATGTCCTGCTGGGCCATCTTGTTTGCTATTTGAATCATGGCAGCTGCCATTTGATTCCGCTGTGGGTCGTTTGCGGGAAGTCGGCCATGTTCGTCGGCATGGTTCTCTTGCCCCGCTGGACTGGGAGGCCACCGAAACTGCGCAGCTGCCTCTGACTGGCGCTGAATAGCTGGAGCTGTAGAAGCAGCCGAGTGCGAGTGCCACGGCGGCGGAGTAGAAGCTGATGCCCCACAAGACTGCTGAGGCACTGTACCTGCGGCACTGCACGATACACCGTCCGTGCCCCAGTCGGCCTCCGCCTGCTGGCGGCGCAAGAGCTGGTCGACTGTCTGCCTGTTGAGTGCGACACCCTTCTCAAGCATCGCCTTCTGGTCGCTGAGCGCAGCGACCCGCTCGTCGATCTTCTCGACGCGGCCGAGAGCGCGCTCCATCCTTATTTTGGCGTCCAGCATCTGCTCTTGGATGCAACCGAGCTGAGCGAGCATGAATCGATATGTGGAACTATTGGTGCATTCGTCCTTGAGGTCGGTCATCGTCTTGTCAGCCTGGGGGGGCACCGGGGCGAGGTTTACAATCGCATGCATTTTGACACGAACTTCGTACCGATACAGATGCCTGGCTTAGAAGTTCATCTCGTTTTGCGGGGCCTGGTAGACTATGTTCACGATCGCCATGTCTGGAGATGCTGGGATGGTCGCACCTTCGACTTTTGACACTGTCGGTGGTGGCGCCTTCGGCTGGACCACCTTTTGTGAAAGTTGCTGGGCACAGGATCCACTGAGGAAGCGATGGGAGGGGCGAAGGCGCGGTCCTCCCGTTTCCGCGCCCGTACCTTCTCTTCCTTGCCCCACAATGCCCACAGGTCCAGCATCTCACAGGAACTTGACACGAATGCTGGGAACGCATACGGGACATAGGCTCTCCCTGTGCACGTGCGATGCGATGGCAGCAGGTCTCTGGCCTCGCCTGGCCCGGTGAGTCGCCTGGCCGAGGCCCTCTTTTATCGCGCCCCGCAGCGCCGGGCGGGTTCCCTCGAAGGCTTCCGGTGGAAGAGATCAGAAGGGAAGCAGCAATCGAGTGTGCGGCCGCGCAGAGGGCGCGCGTCTGATCGGCTGTGGCTTGTGAGTGAGTTTCAGCAGGACTCTGCAGCGCAGGAACCCAATGAACCGTTTCCTCGGCCAAACCCTCCCCTCCTCCTCCTCGTCCTCCTCCTCCTCCTTTTCCTCCTTCTCATCCTCATCCTCCTCCTCGTCCGCCTCCGCCTCCGACTCCGACTCCGACTCCTCCCTCCCCCCATTCCCTCCCTCCCTCCCTCCCTCCATCCCTCCCTCCTCCCTCCTCTCCCTCCTGCCTCCTTCCTTCCTCCTCCCTCCCTCCCTCCCTTCTCCCTCCCTCCCTTCTCCCTCCTCCCTCTGCCTTCTCCACCTCCCCCTCCCCCTCCCCCCTCCCTCCCTCCTCCCGTCCTCCCTTCCCCTTCTCCTCCTACGCCTCCGCCTCCTCTGCGTTCGCCGCTTCGTCGGGCCGCCAGGGCATCCGGGAGAGAGCCGTTGCTGGCCTCAGCCGGCGGGAGGCCGCACGGAAGGTTCGGCCAAGTGCGCGCCCCTCTCCGGCAGTCTCGGCTCCGCCGAAGCGCCGCTTCCTCTGCCCTCCCCCGGGGGGAGGGCCCGTTGAGACACCGGCAGCTCCCCCGCCGGGCCCGAATCCAGCCAGAATCGGCTTCCTGACCCCTGATCGGCACCAGAGACGTGATCGTTTTTTTATTCATTGTTCCGATCGGCGTCGGCTCTCGCCCCCCCCTCCTCCCCCCCCATGGAGAAGATTTTGGCTGTTTGGGGCGCCTGTTTCAAGCAGGTGAGTCCCTACCCCATAGGACGCACGGTTGCAAGCAGCCGCACTAAGCAGAGGTCCAGAGCCACCCCACCCCCCTCCCGCCCTTCCGCCCAATGTCGAAACGCCGAAGAAGAAAACGCTCACATGGGCACGGAAAGAATCGGCACGATGCCCCACAGCAATCCCTGCTCATGTTGGACAGGGTTCGCTGCCCGCGCGGCCGCGGGCGTTGTGCATGTGAGGCAGAAGGCCGCCTGTGCCACAGCGGCCGCTGTCGATTCTGGACAGCATTTATTTTTGGGCATCGTACCCACGCTTGCCGCAACCATATCGGTCGTCCAGTCATGGCCCTTCCCGGGGTCCATCTTGACCCTTTCTTCGAGTCGGACCTGGCCGTGCCGACGAGAAGCCTCCACGAGGCCCAGAGAGGTCGAAGGATGCCCGGGAGGGCCGCCGCTGCTTGGAGCGGCCTTCCTCCGAATCCCCCTCCTGCTCCTCCCCTTGGAAATCGGCCTTCCCCTCCGCTCCTCCCCCTCATCCCATCTGCTCGCGGGTCGGGCGAAAGGTGGGGGGGGGCTATACGGAAAGGGGGGAGCACGAGCTCTGCCGCATGCCGCCGGTCTCATGTCCCACCGCCAGGCGCTCTCCTCGAAACTTTGGCGTCGGAGAAGTCAGTTCCGTAGGATGATTCGTTGACCCCTTTTGTTATCCCCCCTGTTCGCCCGACTCGTCCCCCTGACACCGCAGGACGGGCTGGAGGGAGGAGGGACGATGAGGAGGGAGGGCTTCAGGAGGTTTGGGAAGGCTTCCGGGTTCCAGGGAGGCTGCAGGAGGCCCAGGGGGGGAGGAGGAAGATACGTTGGGTTGAGGGTCGGAGGGAGGAGGAGGGAGGAGCAGTAGAAGAACAAGAAAAGAAAGGAGGACGGAGGACAGGGGAGGGAAGGGGAGAGGGGAGGGACGAGGGAGAAGGAGGGGCGAGGAACAAGGAGGAGGGAGGAGGGGGAGGGAGTGAGGGAGGAGAGTCGTGGTCCAGAAGCGCGAACACACAACGCACCTGTGCATGAATTGTCGTGGGATTTGAGAATATACGTTGCGCGGGTGTTCGTGGCGCTAGGCTGGCCTCGTGGACTCGGGGCGCGTATTCATGTACGCGGCTGGGCGCGTACGTCTTTTGCGGGCTCCCTAGTGGTGGTGGACAGTGAGACTGCGATCAACGCGCGCCCTGAACAACAACAAGCGTAGAAAGCATGCTGCGGAGGCTTCAAATCAGTACAGACCTACGTGGGGCACTCCAGACAGGGTCTCGCCTGCGGGCGATCGAGAAGTCGGCATCTCTCCTTCGACAGATGGACGGCGGACGGAAAACGAGGGCGCCCCCGCCACCGGAAGTCGGCGGAAGCAGAGACATCAACATGTGTTGGGTGCAGGTCTTCTGGAGCAGGCCACACAAGGGACGGAAAAAACCGAGATCGACGGCGCCGACATTCGCGCGTAAGATTTCCGCGTACGGTCGCGGGTCAGCGCCTTCGTCTCCGATGTGGCGTGCCTTGGTGGCGGCCCACGTGAACCGCGGCGTGAGGTCGCCACGTCATCCTAAGCAAGACATGTCTGTTTTCGTCGTTCACATGGAGATGTCACTCGTCTATGGCTGGAGGCCGCGGCGGACGCTGGCTGATGACGCGGGGTCGTGCTCTCTGGGTCTAGGAAACCACTTGCCCCCTCGGGGCCAATAAACCCCGGGGAGCACACGGCGAACCTCAAAGCCCTGCACTGGGCCAAAGGATTGCCTCGAAATGCCAAGGAATGGCGCGTTTGCGTCTCCTCTCTCGGGCCTTGGCAAGATTCTTGCGAATTCTGTCCACACGGGACCCAAAGGTATACACCACCACCACCTCCCTCATCCCGTCCCTCTCCCAGGCAAGAGGGGAGGAAGACGAGGGTGGAGGAGGAAGGGGGGATGGAGGTGGTGGTGGTGTATATTATTGGGGCCCGCAGTCCAGCTGTTCTTCTGAGAGCCCTGGCTGGAGGAGGGCAGGGGGGGGAGGCGGAGAGCCGCCGACGTCTCGGCGGAGAGCCCCCCCCTTCCCCGCGCCGGTTTCCCCCCCACACCTGGCCCGCCGCGCCCCTTCCGCAG